GCAAGGGCCTCCATCCCTCTGCTCTCACCCCAGAGGGCCTCCTAGGAGGTCACTGGCTCCATCATCAACTTCTCAAAGGGGGGGATCGCCGCTGCCCACTTCCAAACAAAGGGCGATCTTACAAGCAGGTAAATCTATAACTAAGGGGTATAGGGGGTGGTAAGTTACTAGGGTACAAGGGTCTATGTGCAATAGATCTACTAAGTCCTATCTAACACTATCTATCCATAGCTAAATATAAAATAAACAATTGAATTAATAAACTATAAAATAAGCGAAACTAAATAAATAAATAGATAAGCAACTAAACTAACTACTAAACACATAATTAAGCTATCTACATTCATCCATAAGTCCCCTGCACTCATGGGCATAGTCGAATACATTTCTATATCAACCGTCGCTTGGGAGACCTGCTCACCAGCTTCTACGGGCATTGTGCAGGAGGCCAACGTCGCTGTCCACCTAGGATATCGTCCTGTGTATATGGGAAGAGGAGTCGCCGGGCGTGCAAACTTCTTGACTGCGGTCGGCGAGTGCTCCGTCGTGCGAGTGGAGGGTCCGGATGGCGACATGTTCACGAACTTCCTATGGTGGTTCGACGCGGGGTACCTGCGGTACCTTCGTCGATGAATTGACCCTACGGCCTTGCTGCAGCTGGAAACCGTTAACGGGTTGTTGCCGGCAGCCCTGCGAGCACTCGGCGGGGCACATGCAGGTAGGCTAGGAGAAGGCCCCCTGCACAGGCTCGTTCAAGATTTTGACGCAAGTCCGCTAAAGCAAGAAATCAAGAACTCAGTACAGGTGACTGTTGCCATCCTAAAAACAAAGGCTCACATACTCACAGCAAGCCGCGGATGCTCTCGACGCCGCGTGGTCGGTTGACCAGCGGAATCAGGTCCACAAACCCTGGCTCGGATCGACATTAAAGAGTCTCGTTGTCCGATCCTCCGACATCTTTCCCACCAAGCAGGAAACCGGCCATGAAAAGCCAGATGCCCAGACCGCTGAGACCGTCGAGACAGCCAACCCTGGCGATAACGACGCACACCCATTACCGATCGCCCCCCCAAACATGCACCGGCTTTTCCCCGAGTACTCGAAGCCCATCCACAAGAGAATGACGATGCGTCTGGTTGCCATCGCCGAGTCCAAGGATTCGGAATGGGCGTCGAGGCCATACGAGGAGCGCCGTGCCGCCCTTGCGAGGGCGAAGCAAGGGAGCCGCGATAAGATGGTGGCGTCGTACGGGAGCCACGTCCTTCGCGAAAGCGAGGAGCATCTGCCAGTGGGGAAAACGTCAGTGGACGTCGGGCAGGAGGCTTTAAACAAAAGGAGCAACGGCCCCAAGCCGCGCGACGCCGCTATCCTCGGTACTTGCCTTCTCTGCGGCTGCGAGTGGTCACGGGCTCCGGCCGACAGCTGTGTAGTCCACTACTACTAACCGAACGGCCCGTGCGTTACCAAGATGCGCGAGGGATGGCACTATGGGAGGAGGTCAGAAGCTGCAGGCTTCACGTTCCCAAACGACAACATGTACCTCCTCTGGCTTTCCAACGAGGCCAGCAAACTTGCGCCGGGTTCCGCTTCCAAGTCGTTCGAAAAACGCATAGCCATAGAACGCCTGAAGGCGTTCGCGAAGGCCACGCCATCGTTTCCGGGTCGCACCGCGTTCCTCGTTGGCATCGAGACCGACAGCCAGCCGACGAAGGCTTTGCAAGCCATTCTCAATAAACTAATCGCCAGGGCGGGCGCGACCCCCTTGCCGGGCAACCCCCGTATCGGGCCGAGGCATCAGTACATGAGCCTGGAGGCCGCAGCATCGAACGGGACGGGGCGGATGGTGACCACAGGGGACTACACCTGGGATCTGTTTTTGCAAGTTAGTTAGACACTCTTATTCATTGCGGCGACGGAGCGACATATGAACAGTGCCAATATTATCCCATATGTAAAGCATCCCTTGTATTCATAAACTCATACGTAGTATCCCAAGGGAACGACAATAAACGAATAACACGATTGCTTTTGACTCACCATCAATGCAACTGTTTACCGGAGGGCGTGAATGCTACAGCTCTTGACGATTTATGGCGACCAAGCAAGCAACGGGTGCGCCAAGACCGACTTGACGAGCACTGGGCAGAAGATCCGGCGGAGGCCACCCCACAGCAACCACATCCTCCGCATCCCTGGCATCCGCTGTTAAAGTTGATGGTCGACATGTGGAGGGCACGGATGGTGTTTTTGGGGCTGCGGCGTTGCCGGGGAACAGGTACCGGGCGAGCGGCGGTTAACGTGCCGGTGCGGGACGAAGGGGCTGGTCAGACCGGCAGTGGACGTGGCAGCGAGGCAATTGGTATTCGGCTCGCGGTCCAAAGACAGGGTGGATGCGGCGGCCGGGCAATCAGTAGTTATCGCACAGTCGAAGGCGAGTGCGTTGCGGGATGCCACGAGGGTCGATGGCAAGCGGCGGCGGCAGTCTCCTCCTCGCTCGACGGGGCCCAACCTAATAGGAGAGTTGAGGAACATGGGGATCGGCCATAATCGAACGGCTCACACCTTCGTCCGGAGCACACCTCACACCTCTGATGAAAAACGGTGATCGCATGGGTTGTTGGCAAGGTTAAAACTCCACAAAAAAAAAAATTTCAAAAAATTTTGAACAATATCACA